GTATTAAATTGTATAAATCACCTATCTACCTCATTTATAGAACGCGTTCGCATAGAATTCTAGGACGGATGCTAGCATGGGAGAAGAGCAATATTAATCTAAATACAGCTTAGTCTACGCGAAATCTGCAGCCTCGCCGACTTCTAACCCCATTTTATGTCATTAACTTACGTGTTTTTGTGTAAACTTACACCCACTTTGTCAGCAATAAGTCTAGAAGATGACGAGTCTTAGGTCGCATACATCCCAGGAAAGTGATTCGATGGTCATGCCAAAGTCAATCCGAAGTGATACAAAAAGCTATGGCGCAAGTTTAGCTAGTAGAAGATGTATCGAAAGCAAATTTGCTGGCATTTCATAATTTAACACTAGAGGGTGGTGCAACTATTGGAGGCTAGAGATCGCGCGTTGCCGAATTTGCTATATAACAAACATCCTTACTTACTTACAAATAGCCGCCTGTAAAGCTTTTTGATAGTAGTGAAAATCAGGTCAGGGCTATTGCTCAATTCACTGCGAATCTGACGGTATCTTTTTACTAGGCTCTTGAAATAATGCTAGCAAGGTTCGATTCCTTGGGTAATAGATGAGCACACACGTAGTTCATAAATTAGTAGGTGTGACTAACATACCTCCGTTACTGAACCACCTTTAACACTTTTATTTTGTTCTACTATAGCCTTGAAAGAATATTTTTATCCAAGTACACATGTTTCTAACTAGCAATCAACAAAATGTTGGTGCAGCATTACCATCACACTGGTCGCATTCCAATTCATATGCTTGTCATCATTTACTATAACAACCACATCAGTTGTGGCTAATGCATGATTTATTATATTCACACGTTAGCCACGCAGAGAACTGCTGACACTTTGAAATGAGCAGTCTATTTTGGTGCTGATATTATCTAACACTTAGATGGTGACATTTTAATATCATCACAGATAGTTGTGTGTAGGTAAAAGTGCGTTAACGCACGTATTAATTATGCTGCGAAAACCACGCATACGTCAATACGATGTCGTCGCATAGACAACAGCCTCCTCGCAGCTATCATCACTAGCTAACATCCGAGGCCTTCTAATACTATGCGAATAAAGGGCGACTGAGCCGCATTACATAGCTAATTAACTTACATCTCTTAGGATCAATGGATCTGCTTTGGGGCAAATTCTCCCGCTAGTACTGATTGTCGTTTCTGTTGTACTGATCGCTGGTGTCAAATGGGCCTGGGTGATAGCTCATATCAATTCAAGTAAGCATGTGTATTTAAACCGTGCGTCTTGAAAGAATTTGCAGATTTACGTTTTGGATGGAAGACGAATGGACAGAACAGATGTGTCTTAGGAGAGACAACGCATAAATACCACTGATAGGGCTAGGGCTTCAGGATAGAGCAATTGCTGAGCGTCCTGAACACTCAAATCAAAGTCATGCTGGCGTTGCATGATTTGGTAGACGAATTTTAACTTGCCTACAGCATCCAAAAGAGAGATTGCACACATTCTCATTTTGGTCAAGACATGAGCAGAAGGCGCATGTATTTCAGATTGTAGTGATCAAGAGAGCAAAGTGGAATATGTAAGCAAATAAGCACTCGGTTCCAAGTGATCCGTAATCGGCTCATGGAGCAGGGCTTATCTAGAGGTTTGCTCAATGGCAAAGACGTTGGCTTTGGGGAGGAGCTGCGAGTGAATAAAATATTCCACCGTGTGCGCACCTTACCTCGGGTAAGTAGCATCGTAGCGAATTTGCCGGGCTTGTTCCACTAATTGAGAACACGATTTTGCGAAATCAATGACTGGCAATGGGCACTTAACGAAGTCGCCTGAATAATTCATCATCATATTTGCATGACTAAATGATATCTTACTGGTGGAAGGTTAGGAGAAGTGTCAGGACTCTTTCATGTCGAGGAAAGATCCGCTTGACAATGACCTTCCGGCACATTATTTACTTCATCGTAAGCACGAATGAGACTGCACGATGGAGTACCCATCCTCGTGGATGCCTCCGTCTCAAAGGGATGGATATGGCAAGTGTCGAATACTTGGCTCCTAGTCAGAATTGGTATCATAGCTTCTCTAAAATGCGCAGCAAAAGCGGACCTGTAATGAGTGCGCCTTATGCTTTGCTTATAAGTCCTTAATGTTACACGAATTTGCTAACAACTTCTGCATTAAATCCCAATAAGCTTTAATGCATCAATCACTAACGGCCTAATTTATGGAACACATTTGCATAGAATTTTGGAGACGGTTGCTAGCATGCGAGAAGAGCAGCATTTATCTAGATACAGCCTTATCCACGCAATCTCTGTAGCCGCACCGACTGCTAACCTCATGTCAATGGCATTAACATACGCCTTCGTGTCTGAACTTACATCTGCGTTGTGATCAATGCGTCTAGAAGTTGATCCGCCTCATACTTGTTAGCGACGGAGACCCAACCAGTGTGCACATCTCGTCGGTGCGCATCGCAGACTCTCAGGGGAAAGATATATCAAGGTGGACACTCAAATTTATTAAAGTATGAACGTTATTTGCAGGTCTCACAAAACGCAAAACACGTGAATAGATAGTCATGCCGGAGTCAACCTGAAGTGAATGAACAAACTACGGCACAAGTTCAGCCAGCGGAAGGTGCGTTGGAAGCACAAATTGCTGAGTTTTCACAATTTGTCACTAGATGGCGGTGTAATTGGTGAAGGGTGGAGATCGTGCGGTGCCATATTTGTTGTAAAACAGAAATTCCCTCTCGGCCAAAAATGGTCATTTGTAAAGCTTTTAGACAATGGCGTCAAACAGGTCAGGGGCAATTGCCCGAATCACTGCGAATTCGAAGGTGACTTTGTGGTAGGGCTTTGAATTAATGTTAACAAGGTTCGCCTCCTTGGGTGGTAGGTGAGCACACACCTAGTTCCTAACTCACTAGATGCGACCAATATATCTCCGGTGTTGAGCCACCTTTAAGACCGTAACTCTGTTTTACCGAAGTCTTAAAAGATTCTTTTATCATAATGCACATGTTTCATAGTAGGTATCTATAAAGTGTTGTCACAGGATTATCATCACACTAGTCGCATTCCGGTTCATGATAACAGCTACATCAGTTGTGACTTCTGCATGATTTAGTTCATTCACACGTTAGCCACGTAGGGAACTGATGACACTTTGGAATGGGAAGCCTTATTTTGGTGCAAATATTATCTAGCACGTAGATTGGGATAGTTTAATCTCATTACGGATGGCTGTGTGTAGGCAGAATGAGCTAAAGCGAGCATCAAATTGGCTGTAAAACCATGCACACGTCAATAAAATGACGCCACATCGTCAGCACCCTCCTCGATGTTATCATCACCAGCCAACCTGGGAGACCTTCAAATACTACGTGAATAGGGGATGGCTGTGCCGCACTGAACAGGGCTGATTAACTGAAATCTCCACAGATGAATGTAGCTGCTTTCTTACAAGTTGCCATGCTAGCACCGATTGCCATTTCTGCTGCACTTGTTGCGCAGCATACTTGGCTGTTAAAGGACAACAAACAAGCAACCTCTAAAATAGCGGTAAAAACTGGGATGCAAGGGAGGCGCAAATGGCATCAACTCATTGCTCTCACATGTTTACTCGTCTCCTTGAAAATGGCCCGAGTAACTACCCACCCACGGTACAGTAGGTAGTCTTCAAAACGTCCACTGCACTGCAATGCGATGACCAGCCCACAACGAGTGACAGGATTTTACCGCTAGCAGTCTTGCGCCTTGCAAATCCTCGTAAGTTACAACAATTAGGCATGTCAGAAATGCATGCTTTACACGGACGTAAGGAAGGATGGAGCAACAGTGGGTTCACATCGTCGAAGAGGGACCACCGTGCACTGACCAATGCAAATGCCTAGTTAGACGTTCAGCCAAAAGAAATATTACTCTGTCACGGCATGATTTCTAACGTACTGGAATAATACGAGCTGTGGGAAACGAAAAATAATGAATAACTTCCTTGGCGATTATCATAATGCACAATACGATCCGGCAGGCATAGTCCTGACTTCTCACTGCCACGTCGTCACTCGAGATTGAATTTGGAGTTTTCCTTTCCTTGAAATACTGCGTCGCAAAGACCTTCTCAACCCGATGTGCAAATAGTTCGTGTCTGTGCAGGAAGCATTAGTTTATCCCTAACTTTTTCGATTGAATGCTTAACTGGTTGGAAGATGTAGGTGGAGAAACAAAAGCCTCGCTTACTCAATGCTCAAGAGAGATACGAATATGCTTCTGCAGGCTTGGCGCTCTACTGATGCTCAAGACTGTCTTCCGTCTTATTGCCAAAACGATGTTCCACTCGTTCGTATGCTACCTCTGCGAGGCATCTCAACGAGTTGAATTGCAGATGCTCCACATCAGAAGTTGTACGCTTCATACCTACTCCCAGGTTACTGGCGAAAGTTTCGGTGGTTAACAGCAGACTCAAACCCTTGGCTAACTAGGTGCTAAATTTAGCTCCACACATAAGCCACGACTGAAGTACTTATTTATTATGGACTCAAATCGTGATTCTGTTTGAGGGCTACTTGGGTTACTTCAGCATGTATAGTGTACCACCTCCCGACGACGAGACTACTGATCTGAATGCCAAAATTGCTTAAAGTTATCCTTGCCTCATCTGCCGATTTCAGATTCCTAGACACTGTAGGGCAACTTGGGGGATTTTCACTCATTTTACTCCAGATAAATAAGCGGTGCGACACAAACATCCAGTGGCAGAAAGCCCATGTTCCTGTTGAATCCTCCCTTTTCAGGCATTAATCGCCCCAGTCCACCCATTTGCCGGGATTCACCAATGCCTTTAGCGACAGACGATTGAGTGCGAAGGGCTGGCGTAGTATCAGGGAATAATGGGTGCATCACTTTACTTCCTGTAATTCTCTATTAATGACAATTTTCTGATTAGGTGTATTGCTAGTGCATTAATGAAGCTGTGTATTTTCATGGCTCCGCAGTAAAAAGCAGGTAAATCTCATATAAATTTGCCCTTCATAATAAGTACACTACTGGAGACTTATGGTCGATGCAGAAACTGGTGTATCTCTACCAAGTAAAGCAGAAGAGAGCTTCCCCATTTTAAAGAATTGTTAGACAATATGACTGCAAAACAGCATGCATTCACCATAGAGGACATGAAGGAATCATTGGTGAATGTGCATATGGAAACTAGTAATTGCTATGTTCGCTTAACCCACCTTCAATCGGTCATCGTCCAGCTCAACTAACTTCGGTGTTGAAGACACTGAATATTGCTAGGTTTCTTCCTTTCCCCCAATTAAATAAGTTGAAGCAAGCATGCCCTTGTGTAGAGAATTCTGTTGGTGTTTAATTGTAGAGAACGTGCGCCCAGGCGTTTGTATCCATGCTGTGCAGTTGGCTGTCTCATAAAACAACTGTCTGGTGTGGTGACCAACTGCGAGGAATGTGGGTATTGCTACAGAGTCTGATGCTGCACAAATGGTAAGAGCAGATCAAACCCACCCAAGTGGACAGCAGATGTAATACCAACGATTGGCAGTTGCTGGATATAGATGTATCGCAAAAAGGGTGCCATCATAAGCACACTCAATCTCTTGGCGACCAGAGCAAATTAAGGCCCTGCAATACACCGATTATCCATTGAAGTGACACCAGAGTTGGTGGACATGAAAACGTCTATCCGGTAGCTGCATCCACCTTCGTACGAAAACAGATTGCATTTAACAGGAAGTGCAATCTCCTACGCGTTCATCGCGGCTGCTCGCAATCTGAAGTGAGGACTGTACAACATTAGAATTACAATTTCGCGAGAGGTATTCACTGCACCTGTCAAACTGAGTGCATTCACACAACACCCCGTATCCCGATAAATAACAACGCCTTTCGACAAACTTGTCCGGTAAGAACGAAAGGCATTTGCGTTCAACCAGTCCCGTTAGTAAAGCTCTTTAGGCC